CGCTGAACTGCAGGCAGTGGAAGGTCGGTAGTTCAGCAGTTCGAGACCCGGGTGCCGCATGATGAAGTGAGCTCCCATCTCTAGTTCCAGCTCCTGCCAACCTAGCAGTTCGAAAGCAAGAAATTGCAAGTAGATAAATAGGTACGACTTCAGTGGGAAGGTAACAGTGTTCCGTGCGCCTAGGTGTTTAGTCATGCCGGCCACATGACCACGGAAAAGTCTTCGGACAGCGCTGGCTCTTCGGCTTTGAAACGGAGATGAGCACCGCAACCCTAGAGTCGGATTCAACTGGCTTTCGAGCAAAGGAACCTTTACCTTTAAGCTTTGGGTGTTTTCCAGGATGGGAGCTGGGAATGGGATTTAATTGTATTATTCATGGTTTTATTCTAGGAACTGTAAACTGCCTTGAGCCACAAGAGAAAGGCAGGTTATATATATATATATATTTTAAAGTGAAGGTTTGGTTGGGGAATGGCTGTATGTATGCCACAATCAGTATCTTGACTTTCCTTTTGTTTTTTGTTTTTTTAAATGTTGCTAGCCCTCTTGGCTCAGACAGACAGGAAAGTGGGTGAGGTAATGTCTGGAGCAACTTCAGAAGGGTGGCTGATTAAGGTGCCAGTCGTCAGTGCTGCACGTCGTCCCATTTCGAAGTATGACTAGTTAGAAGCAGAAACAGTCAACGTAGCTCTAGAGGCAAGTCTTGTGATTTGCATGATTTATACATATTCAGCTTTTCTCAGTATTTCCTATTTCGTTTTCCTAGCACTGAATAGCACTCTGGAAGGTACAGAGAGATATTTCACTAAATCAGCAGAGTAATGGTGATTTGTAATATGTAGGCCAGACCTAACTGGCAGTTTTCTGTCCTCCTAGTTTTGGAACCCTGCTACACTTCTGTTCCTACCACTGCAAACAACTGGCGTCCCTTTTTACTTAGGGTGCCAGATGGGCATATGAACACACAATGCTGCCTTCTGGCTCGCCATGATATAGACAAAAACAACAACGACATCAACAACAACAAACAGGATGAGGGGACAGAAGTTTGGGATCAGTAGGGAGTCTTTGGGATGGATTAGGAGACAGTCAAGTAACAATGGAGAAGCAGGGAGGGTTGTTTTTAAAGGCTTTGCTGAAATACCTGATGAGCAGCAGAAAGAACAGAAAAGAGAAAGTAAAGAGAAGTCCTCTCACCACATCTCAAGTACACTGAGCTTCCGCATTGGAATCTGGAGATGTTATATCCCACATGATTAATTATATCTTGGGCGTTATTCTGCCGTTAATGTATAATATGGGCTGCAACATTTGATTGATTGATTTGATCTATGAAAGATGCATCTAATTTACAAAAGAGACTGGCTGTGCACTACCACTCCTCACACATTATGGAGTACACAGTTTGGGTCTCCCACCCTGTGTCAGAGGAGGTAACACAGTCACATATGAGTGGTGGTTGTGCCTCAATTCCTGAACATACCATTTCTGATTAAGATCAGTGCATGTGGAGAAGGGCCTTCAGCCCCGCTTTTGCCATTTCCCCAGTTTGAAACAGGGATGTGCTATTTGAAGAAAACTCATTTTCCCTGATAGCATCTCCCAGAACTGTTCCAGGCAGGGGAAATGGCATAGAGAAAGCAGAAACCCTTTCTCCAAGGGCATCATGGTCCTGATTCCTACTTGTACAATGACCATGCAGGAACTGAGCCAATTGTGCTAAGACCTGACACGAGGTTAGGACCCAGGCTCAACTTGTATGCTTTATAATGTGTGAAGAGGAACATCCCACCATTCTTAGAAGGGTGCGTTTTAAAGCACAGCTGCAATTTATTCATTGGGATATGTATGCAGATTAAATCAATTAGTTCATTTATTAAAACATGTATGATTGATTGGCTAAGGTTTCTGTAATTGGGTGTCATTCCTGTTTGTTTCGTTCCAATGTCTCCCTTTTTAAAAAGAAATGAAGTACTCGAGGCCATGAACAGTGAGACAATAAAGACATAATAGGTATCTGTGATATGCAGCAGAATTATAAGTTACCATTTCAGTGCTGGGAAAAATGCCTCATCCCTGAAGCAGAACCACCACTTGAGGATAAATGTCTGTGTCTGTTTGTGTGTGTACACGCGCACATGTGCGTGTGAACGGGCGCATTATAAACCTGGAGTGCCCAGGCTGTCCCCTGAGGAGCCAGGTGGGGCCTGACCAAATGAAAATAAAAAAGTTTTCCTATTGTTTCACTGCTATGAGAACGAATGCTGAGCTTGAGAATATTATAAAGCCTTGACCTACTTGTGAATGGGATTATTGATTACAATGGAAACCTGAATTCAAATCCTGGTTTCACCATGTAGTTCACTTAGTGTCCATAAGCCGGAGAGTCCTCCTCCATCAAAGCCTAGCTTGCTTAACAAGCTTGTTGTGAGAATAAAATAGGAGAGGAAACGATGTATGCTGCCTTGCGCTTGGAAGAAGAAGGGGATAAAAATCTGATGGGTCTCTTCTTCCCAGTGTGGTGGTCATGGGCAACACAGCACCCGCCTGTATGTTTCTGGAAGCCCACTTCTCGCCACTGCTTTTCTGGCACTGGAAGTGGGCCCCCCACACACACACTGGGACTTCTACATTTTTTAAAAAATTCACACGGAAATATTGTTATATCAATATACCATTGTACTGATACGTGTTTCATTTATAAAAAGAAATTTTGTAATCCCTTCCCTCACAGAAAAAGTATTATCAGGAAAAAGCATTATCTCCTGAAGGGAAGGGGCTAGAGACTTAGCGGAACCTACATTGTGTATGTGCATTCTTACATCTATATAAGGGTTTGTGGGTTTTTTAAAAAATCACAATTGAAATAGCACATCTTCAGGGCAGGGGGGAGAGGGAGTGGTTTGGGAATGAGGACAGTCCAAGCATCTGAAAGTGGAATTGGAGGTAGGTGGGAGTGGGCAGGACAAAGATGACTGACAGAAACATTATCCATGAGGTAAAAGGTGACACAAAATTGGCTTCCCCCTGGCTTCAGAGTTGGCCTCGCCCATTATAGCCAAAAGCTCTGTGTGTGGCTACAAAAGGAAGGCCTGCAGAATGACCCCCCCCCCCGACTCCGAGGGGGGCCCTGGAAAGATCGGGGAGGCATTTAAATGCCTCCTCATGCCTTCCCCGGCCTGTCCAAGGGCCAGCTTGCCCGGGCTCGCTGCAGCCACGGGGCGCCCGGGCAAGCCAAGGGAAGGCAGTTTAAACTGCCTTCCCTTCAAGGGGGGGCTTGCCCGGGCAAGCCAAGGGAAGGCATGGGTGTGGCCTAATATGCTAATGAGATGTGATATCAGGGTGTGTCCTAATATGCTAGTGAGTTTCTGCTGTTGGGTGTGGCCTATTATGCTAATGGGTTCCCGCTGGGCTTTTTCTACAAAAAAAGCTCTGCCGGGAACAAAAGGTTGGGGTAAAAGTGGTCTCAGAAGAACCAGGGGAACCTCAGGAAACAAACAAAAACATGAAAACTAAAGGCTCAAAAACACACAGAGAAATCATGAGATAAACTGAAGCAGCATAAAGCCAGAACCCACAAAGAAACCCCATGTGGAGAAGCCTAAGGTTGGGAGACCTCAGTGACAGAGAGGAGTCTGGCAACATGCAATTCTGGTCTCTGGATCACTGTCTAGAGAAGCAGCGTGAAGCCCCTGTGAATACAGCAGATGGCTATCAGAGTTATAAGTTGGAATTTCTGGGAAGGTCTGGGTGTGCCCCATTGTTTACGCCTTCTTTCTTCCAGCATCCCCTCCTCCCCCATCCCACCCAGTCTCTTGGGCTGAGAAGAAAGGTTCCAAATACAGCAGTGTGTCACCGGAATGAGAAGCAACTAAGGAATTTTGCCCACACCAAGAAAGAAAGATCAGTGAGTCACCCAGTGGAACAATTCACTCTCAAACTGGAGCAGTTGAGTTATCAGCCCCACCTGGCCCCTCCCCTTGTGCTAACCTGGGATGCATCACCAAAGGCCCACAAAGCAGCACAAGAAATGTGTCATGAAGCCTTTTTCTATTTCTTTGCGGGGGGGGGGGGTTGCTGTATCAGAAGGGTGGAATCCTCTCTTAGCAAGTGGAAACAGGTTTCACTCTGAGAGTGAAATTTCATTGTGACTGTGCACGGGGCTGAAGCAAATTATTGCCATGAGCAGAGGAGCACAGAGAAAGAATGTTTGTTAGGGCCCCTCAAAATAACTCTGGAAGTTAATCAGGCAGAAACTGGCTTATTTATTTGTTTGCTGTCAAGGCACAACTGACTTACGGCGTGTAAGGTTTTCAAGGCAAGAGACTTTCAGAGATGGTTTGCCATTGCCTGGCTCTGTATAGCAACCCTAGACTTTTTCAGCAGTTTCCGATCCAAGTACTAATCAGGGCTGACCCTGTTTAACTTCCAAGATCTGTTTGGACTAGCCTGGGCTATCCAAGTCAAGATGATGGTTTATTACTATCTGTAAAAAAAAAATTCCCCACTCCAATTGGACACCATTCAGACATCACACATTTCCACTGGCAGCCCAAAGTAGTATGGCCCAGGAAATTATCATTGGCCTTAAGTTTAGAAAGGGAGGTAAGTTTAAAGGGTTTGATGTAGGAAATGCGGGGCAGAAAATCCCAACAATAACAGCAGGACCCGTAGTGGGAGAGGACGGATGTATGAACACTGCCCCCTGGAGGGGAATTGAAACTTGTGCTCCTTCCCTTGTGGGCCATCTTTTCTATTGGAGCCTGTGCTAGGGCTGGTGGTGGTGACCTCTTGCCCAAAAAGTCTCCAAGCAGGCTGTGTTTCTGCATCCTTAGCAGGTAAGTATTCAGTTCCCTCTCTTGCTCCAAGGTGAATCACTGTAACTTTCCTTTTAAGGAGAGGCTGAATGAAAGGAAGTGGGGGGAGGGTTCACCAAGAGCTTCTTTGCCACGCCTTGTTCTCGCTCCAGGCTGAGACGCCAAGCCAAAAGCCGATCCCAAGAGCTGAACTCAGCAGAGACTCTGACGGCTCTTGGAGCAGCTGCCTGATCCTTCTCATAGCCGGCCTCCTTGCCCCGTCAGCTCTCCCGTCTGCTGCTGCTCCCCCCCCAAAATGGCAAGGAACCACCAAGTCCAGAAAGCTAAGCTGGCCGAACAGGCCGAGCGTTATGAGGACATGGCCGACTTCATGAAAGCAGTGGTGGAGGATGGAGCCGAGCTCTCCAATGAGGAACGCAACCTCCTCTCCGTCGCCTACAAGAATGTGGTCGGCTGCCAGAGGTCCGCCTGGAGGGTCGTTTCCAGCATCGAGCACAAGACCGAGGAAGGGGATGACAAAGCACAGCTGGTCAATGAGTACCGGGAGAAGATTGAAAGTGAACTGAAGAACGTCTGCAACGTTGTGTTAGGTCTCCTGGACAAGCACCTCATCAAGAAAGCGAGCGACCCGGAGAGCAAGGTCTTCTACCTGAAGATGAAAGGCGACTATTTCCGTTATCTGGCCGAGGTGGCTACCGGGGACGACCGCAAGCAGATCATTGACAATGCCCGGAAAGCGTACCAAGAGGCCATGGACATCAGCAAGAAGGAGATGCAGCCCACCAACCCCATCCGCCTAGGTCTCGCCCTCAACTTCTCAGTTTTCCACTATGAGATCGCCAACGCCCCAGAAGAGGCCATCAAGCTAGCCAAGACCACCTTCGATGAGGCCATGGGGGACCTCCACACGCTCAGCGAAGACTCCTACAAGGACAGCACCCTCATCATGCAGCTTCTCAGGGACAACCTGACACTATGGACAGCAGAGTGTGCAGGAGAAGAAGGGGGAGAAGCCAGCGAAGAGCCCAGAAACTGAACTTTGCAGACCACTGAACGACGGTAACTCCCTGTCTGCCCCTCTTTTTTTCCCCATTCTCCAAACCCATTCTATTTTTATAAGAAGGCAGCTCCAACTTCTGGAAGCTCCAGCTGGATTTCAGCAACACAAGGGGACTGATTAAATTGCATGGGATTCAAGTGCTTACCTTACCCCCTCCCTTCTCCTCATGTGGCAGCTTGGGGGGCATCACTGTGCCCTGGTCTTCCCGGTATGTGACCTCTACCGCAACGGAACACTTCTAGCTTAGTACAGTTCCTTATTTCTCGTTCAGCACATGCTTAACACAAAAGTCTTCTTGGCCTGTCGTGGAGGACTGCACTTGTTTGTGTCTTTAATTTTTTTTGGGGGGGGGGGAAGTAAAATCGCAGGAAATGTAAAATTGTTTGAAATTGCTAAGATCTCGAAAAGCAGCTGGGCAGAGTTAAGCAAGAGTGACCCTTTGCTTCTTTCTTATTCTGCAGGGGGCGGTTTCTTACTATCGTAGGAAAATGGGTGGTGGGCCTTGGAGGGGCTCTTCGGAGTGGGTTAGGACTAGCGATCTCAAGAGGGCCTCTTGTTGTTCATGGTGATTTGCTACCGTGTTCTTCCCCAATAAAAGTTCATTTTCATGCCTGCCTTTTTTTGTAGTTTTGGTTTCTAGTTTTTCCAAACGTTGGAATAGTTTGCATCCTGCAGCTCCTGCTCTCTGGCAGCACTGCAGGATGGGAAGAGGAGAATCCTGAAACTCACAAGTCTCCGCAAAGACTACAGAAAGCAGGTCGATGCACGCAAGGCAGCTCTTTCAGCTCTTCTGAAATCCAAGGTGCTCCCGAGAGCTTCAAGGGGAAAGGTTACGCCTGAAGCAAAAAACAGGGCAACGTGAAAACATGACTGGGCCTTCTCTGGGAAAGGGAAAGGGGAGGGGTGGAGCAGCAGAAGCTCCGCGGGGAGAGGCTGTCAGTGACTGGAATGGCTTTGATCTGGGTGGGAAAGGGGGGAGGATGCTGCTTGCTCAGGAGAATGGGCACTCCTTTCCTCTGTGTCGCCAGCATGTCTCTCTCGCTGAACAGGCAGAGAGGAAGCCACCAATCGGCTATTGAACTCAGGGGCTTTCTGACCCTCTGGCTCCAGGAACATTGGGGCTGGCTCCTAATTGCTTTTCCAGAACCAAAAGAGAAAGGAGGGGGAGCCTTTTGACCACTGGGGTGGCTGTGCTGGGAACTGTGGGACCCACAAGGGACAAAGGCATGCAAAACGGGCTCTGGGGTTGGGATGGAAACCAGGTGACACTGAGTGGAAAAGCTAATGGGATCCAGTCCTTCCCCCATAAACATCACGCTGCAGAAGACTGGAGTGTCTTGTCCAAGAGAATCTGCTCTTGGCCTATCGGACCTGCCTGCTGGGTAAGAACAAAGGTAAGAACTGACCAGGCACACACCCATTCCTCTTATGTGACAGAGGACAAGCAGCCTTTCAGAGGCGCTTCTCCACCGATAGTGGCCTTCTCTGCGGAGGAGCCTTTAAGAAGCTACCCCACCCCACCCCCCCATGCCCATGGTCCTCTTTTGCAAATCATTTCCCTCAAAATGTAACTCCAGGCTTTCAGCACCAGGAAATGCCATTACTGGGGGTGGGGGCAGTTAAAGAGGTAAAGTGGCCTCTTTTCACTGACAGGAAATTTCCCAGTCGGCCACTGCCAAGGAGAATAGCAGGCATCGAGCTGCCCCTCCGATACCAACAGGCAGCACTGCAAGGGAAGGTGACAGGTGAGCTTATGACGTTGCCATAGGCCCCTGTGGTGCTGCCTGTGTGTCGGAACCGCTCAACCTGGCGTTTTAATGGGCCAATTCACCGCTGGGGGTTAGATTATCAATAGATTGTCCCAATAGATTGTCCCGGCCTCTTGAGGCTGTAATTGTTTTGTTAAGAAGGAAAAGATGGTTTGCGAGTCTTCACTCTTGCCTTAAACAACCCCCTTGAAACCACACTTGCAGTTTCTAATAAAGGTGAAACTGGCAAAGGTGTGACCGGGCCTGGAAGCTGTCAGAACTTTTCCTCCTGGCACCGTAATTCTAATGTTATCACGTTGGGGGTGGAGGGAGCTACTCCTGTGCCATTCTTTCCACCACGCTGCTCAAGAAGCCAGGGCCATGCAGGAGGAATCCACATTGCAGCTTTTCCACAGAGGTTCTCCATAAACGGGGGCGGTGCTGTCACAAAGAGACATGGTCTGAGGCACCTCATGCTAACAGGCTGTGCAGGAAGGAGCAGTGGGGCAGCGTCACCCCCGTGAGCACCAGGCCTCTTCACTGCTGCATGACAATTCTCTTCCCCATTCCCATTTCCCCCCACACACATTCCAAATACTCCAGATTTTCCTCCCCCACCAAAATGCAACAGCATAAAGTGAAGTGTATGTGTTAGACTTCTAGGCAAGGATTGCTGAATGCTCTGGATACTAAAAAGTGCTGTGCTCGCAGGCTTTTCTGGTTGCATAAGATTTCACTCTCCTCCCTACCTTTCAGGATCGGGAATCTAGGGAATCATTAAAGTCACACCCACTGCAATTTCCCCAAATTTCCTTAAATCCTTTCAAACGACCATTGATTCCTACTAAGGCGTGGGGCTCTGAGGTTTATACCATGAGGGTCTCTGTGTTTCTTACATTTCCTGCCTACCCTAGGTGCCCAAGGTGCCCTGTGAGGGAGGTTAAGAGAGAGTAACTGGCCCAGTGCACTAATAAAAGATGGCCCAAGGCCTCTCCCACCCACCCCCTCCCCGAGCTTCATGGATGAGGACAGATTTGAACCCAGGTTGCTCTGATCCTTGCCAACTACTACGCCACAGTAGCTCTCCCTTGAAGGATTCTCCTGGGCAAGTCCATTGGAAATAAATTGGAGCCAATCATAGTGCTATCGACACGGAGACATCCCATGCTCTGTGGCTCAGATCTGTTCATCTCCTGCTCAGGCTGCCTTTCACAGTCCCTAATGTCCACTGCCCAAGGGTGTCCCTGAATTTCTGACACCAAAACAAACAGGCTAACTGGTATGTGCTTCTAGGAGCTATCTCATAAATGTCAAACAGTCACATGCTCATTCAGAAGGTGGTTGTTGGAGCAGCTGATTCCACCACCGCTTGAGGATATTAGAGATGCAGGCGCACTTATTGAATGAGGCTAATTGCCCAGGGAAAGCAAGCAGAGGTTTCTTCACAAGGGTATATAGCTGCTGACTCAAGTGCACTAACAGAGATGGAATTTAATTTAGTATAAATAGAGCATTAATGGAGCCAGGGACATCATGGGTAGTTTCTGAGGGTGTTGATACCTTTTGTGGCGAAACGGGGACCCACCCTCAGCCCTGGGAGATTGAGCAGCCGTTCTGTGGCTCGCAAGCCCCTGTTTTTGCCTGCCCACCCTGCCTGGTGGGGTTATTTCCTTCCTCTGTTGCTGCCACCACTCACTGAATAGACACCGCCTTCTTAGAGGGACAGTGAGACCCCTCTGGCTGATTTTCCAACCTGGGAAAGTGGATATCTCAATCTTTGGGTGCCCCCTGGAGAGTTGGCAACCCCTCTGATCTGGGCTCGTTTGAGTTCCCTAGCCTCCCTTTGCCTCTGGTAACATGCTGAGCAGGGAGGACTATGTGGTCAAGGCACTACCAGGCTTTATAATTTCAAAAAGAAGATTTATTTAAACTATGTACAAGTTAGGCACAGAAAATAAACACAGGCACATCAACTCAACCCGGGCAGAAAATAAACACAAGCAGGGCTATTTTGGGGCAGGAACGCACAGGAACGGAGTTCCGGCTGGCTTCAGAGTTGGCCACGCCCATTACTGCTAAAACCTCTGCTTGCGTGGCCACAGAGGGAAGGTCTGGAGAGCGACCCCCCCCCCGAGCGACTCTGAGGAGGGGGGCCCAGGGGGGCCCTGGAAGGATCGGGGAGACATTTAAATGCCCCCCCACGCCTTCCCCTGCCTGTTCAAGGGCCGGCTTGTCCGGGTTTCCCACAGCCATGGGCCACCAAGGGAAGGCATTGGGTGTGGCCTAATATGCTAATGAGTTTCTGCTGTTGGGTGTGACCTGTAATGCTAATGAGTTCCTGCTGGGCTTTTTCTACCACAAAAAGCCCTGAGCACGAGTAAACTGCAATTCCTCTGTTCCCTACACACACCCTCTCTACCTCTATAGTGGGTGGCTGCAGGCCAGGATTTGCTTTCCCCCTCCTGTCGTTGGATAGAAACTCCAGCCCGCCTCAGGATTGGTCACCAATACTGCTAACCCTCCTGGCTAAGGTTGCTAAGTCACTCGGACTCACCGGAGGGGGAGCGGCACCAGGGTCCGGGAGCTATTGATGGACGCGCACGTGCGCACCGCCAGAACGTCACAGGAAGTGACGGACGACGTAGAGCATGTTGGGGCATGGCCCCAATCGTTGAAGGGAAAACCATAGAGTTTTCCCTCCGACGATTGGGGCCACGCCCCCAACGTGATCTACGTGGTTGTGTCACTTCCTGTGATGCAGCCACGCTGCGCTTGGGGGGGCGGGGTTCCCCCCGGGGCCCGATTCCGCTGCAGCGGAAATCGGGCCTCCAAAGCGGGGGTTTACGCGCCCCCCGCCCCCACTTGGCAGCCCTACTCCTGGCTGTCCACCACGCCTGGACTGACCACTGAGTGTTGGTAGTAGGAGTCCCACCTGTATGCACCCCTTGAAGCTGCTGTTCAAGCTCAGGCAAAGGTCAAGACCAGGCTGAGACTAAAAGCTTCCCCAGACGGCCAAAGCCTTTATCTGCCTGGCTCTGCCCCCAGGGTGGGTCCATACTTTCCCGCACTTTTTCCTCTGAAGTGATAGGAATCCTGTTTGTGGAGGGTCTAAAGGAACTCCCTTAAGAGTCTTGACCTGCAGAAGGCACCAACCAACTGCTAACTCGCTCATTTAAATATGATCCTGAAGGCTCTGGGTGAGACAGTAACCGCTGTTCCTTATGTCATCATTAGCCCCACAACCCAATAAAGTAGGTCCTTGTTATTCAGCGTCTTTCAGCTGTGGATCACAGGCTGAGAACCACCAGCTTTTGTCCTCAGGCAGCTCACAAAGATGGGACCTGTGCTCTGATTTCCCAACCTCTTGGGGGGTTTTTTTGTTTTTTGATGGCCTTCTGTGCACACAACTGCTATATGAAATTGCAGGAAGGGGCCTAAACTCAGTAGTAGAGCACCTGTGTTACATGCAGAAGGTCCCAGGTTCAATCATTGGTTAAAAGGATCAGGTGAAAGAACCTGAAGAGCTGCTGCAAATCAGAGTAGACAATACTGACCCTGTTGGAGCAATGTACTGAGACAGTATAAGGCAGTGTCATGTGTTTGCATAAGTCCCTGGTTGCTCCAGTTAAGAGATCTCAGTGATGTGGTGTTGGGGGAAGACCTTCACATCTGCCAAAGACCCTTGGAGAAATTTCCTCAGTCAGAGTAGACAAGACTGGAGGCAGATGGACTAATCATGTTGACTTGGTATCAGGCAGCTTTCTTTCAGAAGACCTTGGTGGTAGTCTGAACACAAGCAGATGATTTGTAGCAGGACTGATTTGTAGCAGGAGACATTGAGCATTTAGCCATCCCATTTAACGG